ACCCTGTAAGCCTTGTTATCACCTGTCAAGCACTCTGTAACTCCTGTCAAGCTTGGCGATCTGGTACTAGAGCCGTTAGAACTCTACATTTTCCGAATCTTGGCCAGGCACTTGAACAAGTTTGACCGGAGTTTATAGGGTGTCTGACAGGTTAAAACAAGGCGTACAGGGTGTTGACAAGGTTGTCCGGTATTCACATGCATGTAGTTTACAGGAATCGGTATGCTCAAAGCATTCAGGTGTGCCCCCCTCCCAGGTTATTAGCGTCCCAAGGTGTTTGTGTGTGTGACTTTTGTATTGTATCGCATTTTTATTGTTTATTTGAAAATTTCATGTGTTTTTTATTTTAGATGTGCCGGATCATACCTTGCACCTGACTTTAACCAACTTATGCCATCAGACATGTGTAAGTTATTTTCACGGCTTTGTTGAATTTCTTAAACCATTAGCTGTGATGCTTTCCAGCTCTGGAAGCTATGATGATGTGGCTGTCAGCAAATCAAATGTACGATCCTTCAACGCTTTCGCTAACGGATCCTATGTCTATTCTGACGACAGGAAGCGCAGGAGCACCACGTCCTCCCGTGGAAATTCCTCAACAACCTCATTTCAACTACACTCGTGGCTCACGCGCTAAACGTCGTTCAAATCCACAAACGCAGCCATCTCCGAAATCTTCCACTCCATCGAAGTTTTTCTCTCCCAAGTCTTCTACCCCTTCCAAGCCTTTCTCCCCGAAGTCTTACACCCCTTCCAAGTCTTTCTCACCGAAGCCATCCACTCCACCAGTATCTCTTTCTCAGAAGACTCCCCCTCAACCAGTATCCTTCACATCAGCGGATTTTCCGCCATTGAAGTAGGATAGCGGCGCTCTGAAATGAGAATCAACTCTATCGCTTCGTCGATTTCTTTCGCAGCTGCTCTTTAGTGGCATCATCGAAATAACAAACGAGTATACTGTTAGTTTTATTAATCTTTCACCTGCTGGTACAATTTCATCATCGTTATATCACGGTGTACTAATGGGCTGTTTGATCTCTTTTATGTCACTACGAACAAAACAGTCGTACAAAATGAATGCTCTGTTATTAGCGATCATCTTCAATCCTATTGATCGTTCTTTGTCACATTTTACAAATCATTGTCCTTTTAATAAGATACAGGCGTGTCTTTCCTAATACGGTGATCGCCTTTAGAAGTTTTCTATGTTGTTTTTAAATGCTCAATAAAAGTTTTGTACGTGTATGATGGATTGGTAAATAGCGTGCTTGAAAGGCATAGTCCACGCTGGCGAGGTGGGCGGGGAGAGTCATCCCTAAGCCGTCACCATTCTCAAATCCAATCAGCAAGTTGAACACTCCCAAAGAACCATCCCATATCTCACGTATAGAACTTCCCAAATTCTCCATACTTTCTGGCCTTTATCCCAGTTATCCTTCAAAGACTACTGTCGAGCGGATGGAGGGGTATTAACACAAGTGACCGGGAAAAATCGAGAAAGATGAACAATCGAAGGCTTTTTTTCACACAGGCAAGTGCGACCCCGTATTTCCACCGACCAAATACGATCCCTTCGCTGTGTATCCCCTACGTATGAGCATCCTGATCACTACCGTCAAGCGCAATCGCCGTGAATTTGGAACGGAGGAAGTGGCACGCAAAGGCAGCTGCGGTTCCAAGCACCTTGCGCATAGCATGGACCAGGACACTCGGAGCTATTTGTATAGTTTGTCTTCAAAGCACGACAGCCATTTTCTAACTCTTTTCTGAAGTCTAGCTCGTTTGAAGGCAGGATTCGCAATGAGCCAGTTAGAAGTTCGTTGGAATCAGGTTGAGAAATATGTTACGTGCCAACTGACTCACTCGTGAATAAAAAAAGCAAAAGTCAGATAAGCTCGGATTCGGGCTTTTCCTGTGCTAAGCGATAGACTAAACATGTATCTGTCAAGGTAGGCGGAGTCACTTACTTTTTGGCGGAGTCACTTGTACAACTTTGTTCCTTACCGATGCTACCTTGCAACTTTCTCACGCGAAACTTGTACGGGGTTCTTCGCTGAGGTTTCCACTACGTTCTATGTTCCCCTTCAGAATGTTCAGATAGCGGAGCTTGCTCATCACAAGTAGGGGGAACGTGGTCAATGCTTTAGCAATTATTTGTATCCAAACCTAATCTTGCACCGTTAGATTGATCGGGTGGCGGACTTTAGCTGGAGTAGCATACGGTAAGATACTGTATGCCACCACCCAGCGCATATCCCGAGGCCCGCCTGCGGCATGACCTCGCTTAAATTGCTGCGCTGACTGCTGACCTCTCACTGGCTACTCAACGTAACGAGATGAATCGATTTGTTTATTCACAAGGTTGAGTGTTAGGAAGGAAATTTCTTGACAGTGACAATAGATACAACGAAACAAATAAAATGCACTCCTTAACATTCGAAAAATTATATAGTTTTACTATGGTTTTTTGATTAAATTATTATTAATTAAAATTATATGGTTTTTTGTAGAGGGGCGTGGGACTTCCTGAAAAGAAATGGGCGACAAAGGTGGAGGAGCTATCGAGGGGTCTGTGATTTCACGAGAACTGGGCGACAAAGGTGGAGGCGCTGTGGAGGAATCTGTGATTTCGTAAAGAAGAATGGGCGACAAAGGTGGAGGCGCTGTGGAGGAATTTGTGATTTCGTGAAGAGGAATGGGCGACAAAGGTGGAGGCACTGTGCAGGAATCTGTGATTTCCCGAGGAGGAATGGGTGTTGTGATTGCATGCACGGTCCCGTAGTAGACATCGCTGGTAGGCTGAAGACCCATAAGCATTTCTGGAGAAATGCCCTGAAATGGGGTAGATGTCAGGAAATATGCAGGTGATAGGGTTGGGACGGTACTGGTGTGAAGATGATGCATCGGCGGAGTAGCAATGTAGAAGCTAGAACTGGGTCGAGTAGAACCTGTGAGGAGTGAGTTTATGGAAAAGTCATGACAAGACGCGGTGTAGTAGGCACCTGAAAGCATGCTCGTGACGACAAACACGAGGTGTGTTATGACGAGGTGCTCATCGAGCTATATAAACATATTTTCAGGTGACCTTAAATAAGGAAGAAAGAATTAATGTAAGAATTAATTTGCCTTTGGAAGGTCATTCGATGTATATAACGGAAACATTTAAAAATTTCAACACGTTTCTCTTCGATGCGAACATTTATCCTCAACCCAATATTCATAGAATTACGAAATTACTGATTTTAACTTATCAAATCCGATTATCAAACGGATTCGAATCGATTCATCTCGTTACGTTGAGTAGCCAGTGAGAGGTCAACAGTCAGCGCTGCAATTAAGCGCGGTCATGCCGCAGGCGGGCTCGGGGATATGCGCTGGGTGGTGCCATACAGTATCTTACCGTATGCTACTCCAGCTAAAGGTGCTCACTGCGCGATTGATTTCAGTAAGGCGCTGTTTTGTCGCGACGGGGGGGGGGCATTGACTTCCCATCGACGTGTCGACCCATCTAGACAGCCTCTTCTCGAGTTGACAGGTTTTACCATGATGGCTTGACGAGCTTGCTCCAGCTTCACAAGAGTTCACAGAGTGAGAGACTTGTAAATTAGAACTAGTGAAGGAACGAAGTGCAACCCCCCCCCTTCCCTGCCCCCCTCCGTTCGGCATACTGCGCCATTCAGTAAGTCTCTGGTGCATCGCCATCTCCAAAAGCGGAACTAACGCCAGCGCTTTTTCATCAACACTAAGCGCCAGCGCTTTTTCAACGACACTAACAAAGGCAGTCATTCAGGCCGTGAAGCGATTCGTAGAAACCGTTTTTTTTGCATGCTGTAGACATCCATGGTTCAGAAAAAAAACGGAAGTCGTTTTTGCACCGCGTTTCTAAGAATGCCAAAAAGTATGAGAAACGAAGAAAAGGGCGACTATAGTTCGGTCACTCCATTGAATCTATACCTCTTATTGTAATAGAAGGCACTATTTACCCTTTACTGCCCCAACAATCCCGAATTGAGCCAGTTTCTGACCGACTTTTTTCTCCGTGGACAGATTTGGCTCAAATGTTGTCTCCTAGGGTATTTTGACCTCCTGAATACGAATATGACATTCACATAGCCCGAAACCTCCTGGCGCCTGCGCCACAGGCGCCGGTGACCTGAGGTATTTTGGCGCCAGCACCTGCAGCGCGGGCGGAAGGAGGTTTTGCGCCGAGCGGATGTGATATTCGTAATCAGGGGGTCAAACCACCCCTGGGAGCAAGTTTTCAGCGAATTTGGCGATTTCAACTATTTTGGCGCCGGCGCCCGTGGCGCGGGCGCCAGGAGGTTTCGGGTTAAGCGGATGCGATATTCGTGTTCAGCGGGTCGAACTACCCCTGGAGCCAAGTTTTCAGCAAATTCTGCGGAGAAAAAAGTCGGTCAGGAACTGGCCTGATTTCGGATGACTGGGGGGGATGGGGCAGTATGGGTAAATAAGTGGCATAGATACTACTAGCTCTATTTGACAATCAAAATGCGCAAAGGCAAAAGAGCGCTAATAACCGTAGAAGAAGGGGCACACCTGAGGCCTGTTAGCACACTAAATCCCGGACAACCATGTCAACACCCTGTAACCCTTTCTCACTACCTGTCAAGCACCCTGTAAACTCCTGTCAAATTAATCCAACTCGAAAACTAGCTTGAATATATCGGATTCATAGCACTGCATAGCACGGGAGTTTATGAGGTGCTTGACAGGAACGCAGGGTGTTGCGTAAGCAGCTTCCGCACGATGACCCAACCCATTCAACATGGCCGCTGCGCGTCGAATCTATCGCCTCAACACAGAGAATCTCTGCCCTATCCGTAGGCGTCCTCCCTTGTACAAATAGTGTGGTCCTCAATCCCTCAAACTATCCCACACTTCGCGGTTTCACACTAAGTAACGAAGGCGCTGTGGCCCTCATAAGTGGCAGTTTTGACGCCTGCCTAGTTGCCCCGCCCACCAAACTCGATGGCTACTTCCTCTCACGAGTTCAGTATTTACACGTGTTTTTTTCTTTTTTTTTTTGTTAGATGGTATTAGCATTGGATGACGCGAGGAAACGATTAGTGAGTCAGAGGTGGCAGGATATCGTTTGCTGGCATAAAACGAGCAGATCCGGAGAACTCGTCCAAGTAGGCTGCCACGTCCCATATTAGGGTAATAACAGGACTTTTTTTTCTGTAAACCTTTCAGTTGTTTCGTGCCTTACGAGGTTGATAGGTGGAACATTTATTAATGGCCTAACGTTTCGACTCAATCGTCGTCTTCAGAGGCCTGAACATGTTTCAAGTTTTAGATTCGCAACCTACCCCACCAAGCGCCTCGTCGAATCTAGCGGTTCCGACGTAGTGTCAGGAACCCCTCGAGAAGACGCCAATACCGCAAGAAACAGACTCACCAGTTGTTCCACCGTTTAAGCGGATAGGTCCGCAGCCACACCAGAGCGCTGTTAGTAGAGAAATGAGGAATTCTACATTGTCTCCGTGTGATGACATATTGTGGAGACGCACGTCACGCTCTGTCATTTTACAGTCCGCAGTGGGGTATAAACGGTAGTAGGTCACTGGTGATGGAAGGACACTCATCTCGATTGTTCATTCTGGGTTTTCTAGTGAATATCCAGAATGCTTCTAACGCTTTTCTAGCTGAAAGTTCCGTCTCATTTGCCAGCACACTGCACTTTATTTCGAATTCCAACCCATTATGTTCAGCAACCTTATGCCTCCCAAGAGCAGTTGTAAGAGTACCTCATGCTAGCAAGGTGTTCCTTGATACGAATAGCCAAAACCCTTTCTCCCCTATATACGTGGAGTTACTGGATTTCATATATTACTCCCAG